GATATTCGTCACTACCTACCCCCCCCACCCCCCCCCCCCAGAAAACCCACATGCCACTGCCTCCCCATTTCGTCGCATTACGTGAATGATTTTGAGTCATTCATCAAACTTGGGACCCAGAAAAAGGTCCATGGCATTATCTCCTCTACTAATGTCGACAAAAATTTATTCACCCTCGATATTTCAATTTTTGATTCAATCGCGGTAATTCAATATAATTTAATGTAAACATCAAATACAATACAAAATAAAATTTTACCACTAAATTTCAAGAGAGGATACTACTGTGCCCCTACATTATTAATGCCCCTACAATTTTTACCAAATGGGGAACAGAGTATCATGAAAAGTAATCGGATACTGACTTTCAGAAATTTATTTATGGAAATTTAGAACGAGAAAAAAATTACTTATACAAAGTAAAAGAATAGAAGAAAAGAGGGGAAAAACTCAATCACTTATTCACTTTCCCTGCTAGGATTATAATTTTTTTCTCAGTTAATTCTTAAATACTATTCAACTGATGATGAAGTATGAAATTCCTATTCGTGAAATAAGAGATAAAAAAGAGGGGAAATCCAAATGCTTTGCTTGCATTGTTACGAAATTTAAAGAATTTATTATTCTCTACCTAAAAATTTTAAGTTCTGTCGTGTTCTCTTTCCTAATCTTTTCAATTCTCCTTTGATTGATTCTCCAAATAAAGAAATGTTTATAATGTCAGTAGCTGACTCATCAGCAAGTGGGCAAGTCTGGCCCTTGTGGTCAGGTTAGATTATATTATTATCCTAACATGTAGAATTTGATCATGGAGAAAGAGTGAAAGCAACACCCATTGATTATTGACTTTTCTTTTGCTCAAAAGAGAATACACTTAACTTAGTTTATCATAATTCTGTCTTATCTGGCCTCACAAGATCATTAAAATAATGTTCAAGAAAACAAGAAATCATATAATAGTACATAACATTGACTTCAATGGATAACAAGTGTGGCCATGTTTGCAAATTACTACATTATTGGTTCCTTCCAAGCAGCCTACAAGATTGGTAACAGTGAGAAGAACCAGACATCTATACAAGCTGATACTTTTATAGGTTCATTTCACTTAAACACAAAGCTTAGCCGCCTTTTTTACTATACTTTCAATCCTTACTTGACTAGCAATATAGATTACTTGAATCTGCGGTTGCTTAAGAAGGTGCAGTGTGCAGTCAACACAAAGATCTAAGATGGGGTTGCCTTATTTTCATTTTCTCTTCCTTTCATGGTTTCTTTCTGCTCATGTCTTCTGTTTGTTAGCTACAGCACAAAGATCCACTTACATTGTCCATTTGGACAAATCCTTAATGCCTAATATCTTTGCTGATCACCATCATTGGCATTCTTCCACTATTGATTCCATTAAAGCTACTGTTCCTTCATCAGCAGACAGATTCCACTCTGCTCCAAAACTTGTTTACTCTTATGACAGTGTGTTTCATGGCTTCAGTGCTGTTTTGTCCCAAGATGAACTACAAGCTTTGAAGAAGTTACCAGGTTTCGTTTCAGCATACAAAGATACAACTGTGGAACCTCACACTACCCATACACCAGATTTCCTCAAACTCAACCCTTCCTCTGGTCTATGGCCAGCTTCTGGATTAGGCCAAGATGTGATCATTGGTGTTCTTGACTCTGGCATCTGGCCTGAATCTGCGAGTTTTCGAGATGATGGTATGCCTGAAGTCCCCAAAAGGTGGAAAGGAATTTGCAAGCCCGGCACACAGTTTAACACTTCATTGTGCAACAGAAAACTTATTGGGGCTAATTACTTCAATAAGGGAATTTTGGCTAATGATCCCACTGTGAACATTTCCATGAATTCTGCAAGGGATACTGATGGTCATGGCACACACGTTGCTTCCATTGCTGCTGGAAATTTCGCCAAAGGTGTTTCCCATTTTGGATATGCACCAGGAACAGCAAGAGGAGTGGCACCACGAGCTAGGCTAGCTGTGTACAAGTTTAGCTTTAATGAAGGAACCTTTACTTCAGATTTAATTGCTGCTATGGACCAAGCTGTGGCGGACGGTGTTGATATGATATCTATTTCTTTTGGGTTCCGTTTCATTCCTTTGTATGAGGATTCTATATCCATTGCTTCTTTTGGAGCTATGATGAAGGGAGTCCTAGTTTCAGCTTCAGCTGGAAATCGAGGTCCGGGGATTGGAAGTTTAAACAACGGATCTCCATGGATCTTGTGCGTGGCATCAGGCCACACTGACCGGACATTTGCAGGTACTTTGACTTTGGGCAATGGCTTAAAAATTAGAGGGTGGAGCTTGTTTCCTGCAAGAGCTCTTGTTACGGATTCAACAGTGATTTACAACAAGACTCTAGCTGATTGCAGTTCGAAAGAATTATTATCACAACTATCTGATCCAGAACGTACGATCATTATATGTGAAGATAATGGGGATTTCTCTGATCAAATGCGTATTGTCACTCGAGCAAGACTTAAAGCAGGCATCTTTATTTCTGAGGATCCAGGAGTGTTCAGGTCTGCTACATTTCCAAACCGTGGAGTTGTGATTAACAAAAAGGAAGGGAAACAAGTCATCAATTATGTAAAAATACTGTCGATCCCACAGCCACCATCACGTTCCAAGAGACGCATCTAGATGCAACGCCAGCACCAGTTGTTGCTGCATCCTCGGCACGAGGCCCCTCCAGAAGCTACATGGGAATTGCAAAGCCAGATATATTGGCACCAGGGGTACTAATTCTTGCAGCATATCCACCAAACGTATTTGCCACGAGTATTGGGGAGAACATAGAATTGTCCACTGATTACATTCTTGAATCAGGCACATCTATGGCTGCACCACATGCTGCTGGAATTGCAGCAATGCTAAAGGGCGTGCATCCTGAATGGAGTCCTTCAGCGATTCGCTCTGGCATGATGACCACAGCAGATCCTTTGGACAACACTCGAAAACCTATTAAAGACTCGGACATTAACAAGGCCGCCACACCCCTAGACATGGGATCTGGACACGTTGATCCCAACAGAGCGCTTGATCCTGGCCTAGTATACGATGCTACTCCACAAGATTACGTAAATCTTCTATGCTCTCTGAATTTCACAGAAGAGCAATTCAAGACAATTGCAAGATCATCAGACAACCACAACTGCTCAAATCCATCAGCCGATCTCAATTACCCGTCGTTCATTGCATTGTACCCCCTCGAGGGACCCTTCACATTGTTGGAACAGAAATTCAGGAGGACAGTTACAAATGTTGGTCAAGGTGCAGCTACTTATAAAGCTAAGATAAACGCTCCAAAGAACACTACAGTTTCAGTATCACCACAAACTATAATGTTCAAGAAGAAAAATGAGAAACAAAATTATACTTTGACAATTCGTTATTTAGGTGATGAGGGTCAAAGTAGAAATGTTGGATCCATCACTTGGGTTGAAGAGAATGGAAACCATTCTGTTAGGAGTCCTATAGTGACATCTCCCATTATAGAGATCTCGTCATAAGTTGTGCTCCTTTATGATATATTTTGCCTTGGGAGGCGTATGACCATGTGATTCTTGATTTGGAAGTACCAAACACAAGAACAAAGGGAAAGCTAGATGGAAATCATGTACTATACTGTATGAATTGCTTGTGCCTATCCCAAACTATTTTTGAGTCCCGTGAAATTTATTTTTTAAGAAATTGACCAACTTTGGTCGGTTTTTGCAATTAAAATAAATAAAAATTAATATTAAAAAAGTCGACCAACTTTGGTCGGTAAATTCGGCCGGTCATTTTAAAAAACCGACCAAAGTATTTTTTAATAAATCGACCAACTTTTGGTCGGTTATTTTTGTGCGAAAACACAATTAAAGAGTATAAAAAAAAACAATCTTAAAACAAAATGCACCAATGGTGTTACAACCCATAAGGTAGTCGACGTAAATCCATGAAGAGATTATCTTTAATATGATAAGAAGTTAAACCTATTGGTCTTAAATGATACAAAGGTGTATAAGGGTGGTTAACAAGTGTCACACCTCCTTTTTACCCACCCGAAAGGTGGTACAAGGGAGTTTTGCCAATTTAAGTGACATTATTTGAAATGGGATTATTTATTTGATTTTTCTTCAGAGTCGCCACTTGGGATAGTTTGTTTTCTGGTGTCCCAAGTCATCGGTTTATTTTAAAATCCCAAATCGAGGAAAATTCGACTTTCCTTTTGAAGTTTGCGAACCAGAAATTCTGAATAAGGAATTCTGTTAACCCGAGGGAAGGTGTTAGGCACCCCCGGATACCGTGGTTCTAGCACGGTCGCTTAAACTATCATAATTGGCCTATTATCTTATTTTAATACATGTTTTAGCTTATGGTATATTTTAACTTATTAAACCGCTTTTAATTATTTTTAAAGGAAGATTTCAACGTTATCTAAAACACGTCTTTGGACCATGCCACATGAAATGCACCCACAGTCCGCGACACATTTTATTTGACGTTGTTGAGATTTTGATTTGGGTCACATGAAATGCACACCCGAGTTTAGGAAGGTAATTTTTAAAATAGCGCGCCTAAAGCAACTATGCACTTTTAAGTTTGCGAGGGCCATGGAAATTCAACTAAATGGTACGGCTCGATTTCTAAGGATTAAAATATTAATTAAGCGAGGGCCATGCATTTTGAGATTTTATTCGGCACGGTGCACCTCGATTCCAATTTTTAAAGGAAACTTAAACTAAATTTTGGAGGGCCATGAACTATGTATTGCCTAATATAGCACGCCTCCAATCTACTTTAAGAATCTAATTAATTAATTAAGGACGACTTAATGGGATTCTAATTATTTTAACTAAAGGTCAGCTTGACTTATCGACTAACATGCATCATGTTTAAATAATCAATTAATTAAGAACCATTGTTTCGGACAAAGGAAACATGGACGAGAAATGAAGGCTGGGCTTGATGAAATGAAATAGGCTCAAACAATATAAGGTGTATGACCCCATTTGCAGGTGCCCTTCAGGCCTGGGCCCAAAATGAGCCCAAATCTAAGGAGCGAATGACGACCCAAAGGCATGAGCTCATGCACTCAGGTCTGAGATTTGAACTCTCAGTAACTGGGCCAGCTTTACGCCAACTTTCAAAGCCAATCAGTTGTGCAAAACTCATTAAATAACAATTAGCCAAGACTATGTGGAACATGAGATTAAACTAATATTTTTGCTTCTGAATTTAAATTGTCGAGTACAGAGCAGCCAGCTAAACATTCTGAATTATAAACAACAAATCCGACTTAAACATGCTTACAATCAAAATCGAAATAAATCAGTACCTGCTTCTATTCTTAAAGTGACATTTAGACCATTTTTCTTTTTTTTTTTCCACATGATTTTGCACTAATGACTACTTAAGAAATTTAAATCAATTAAACTCTTATCAAATACCAACAATAATCAATCCAGAAAATCAGTGCATGAGTTACTCAGATTCCAACATCACACACTAATAAACAAGTCAAAATACCCTTAACATGAGTTTATACTCACATATCTTAAGACATACTTTGAGCCAAAAAAAACACACACACACAATGCCTTCAGATAGCAGACTACACATTAGCATTTTATCCTTAACATATACTTGTCATGATAACTAATTCAACATGAAATCATCACCAAATATGAACACTCGTTTTAGCCAAACTAAAGTAAAGCTGAAACACATGCAATTTGACTGAGTCTTTTACCACAGCATCTTAACAGTCCCATAATAATGTACAATGATAAGAACTAAACTACTAAAACACAAAATCAAGAAGAGATATAACTGAAGCACACATAAAGCCTTTCTGCTTTTCATTTCATTCTTCAAATCCAACTTCACAATCAATAGGGCCTAGGAGTATGTACCTGGGAATTAAAAGAGAAAAGCAAGGAGAAACAAGAAATCAGTAGACAGCAGCAGAATAGGGCTCAGCAACAGGAAACAGCCAGCAAAACCAACTCGAAACCAACCAATGAACATTAATATCTAGTATAGTACTATTCTCTCTCTACTTTCTCTCTCTAGGCGTGCATGAAGAACTAGGGCAGCCATGGCTGCTGTCGTCTCTCCCCAGCTCCAAGCTGTGGGAGAGTCCAGTCAAAATCCAAAGGAAACAAACGTTAAACATAATCCAAAACAAACATATGCTCAACGAATTGTTTGTAACAAATCTGCCGCGTCGAACTCAAAAATTTAGTTATGTCCTGTTAATGTTATTCATGGAGAGCCAACTGTTGAATTCACCATTGAAGAGGTTAATGCTTTCATCATTGAAGAAGGGCTACACCAAGTAGTAATTCTGAAATTTTCGTATGGGAAACCATATCTTCAGGAATTGCGACAAGTTATTCCAAAGCAATTTGATGTCAAAGGATATTGTAATGTTGGGCAACTGGAATATCGACATATTTTGATAAGATTTGATCTTTTTGATGATTTTGTCCAGGTTTTGTCGAGAACCACTGGATATATTACAGCAAAAGGTGAAGAATTCTTTTTTCGAACTTTTCCATGGACGATTGGATTCAATCCTCGTGAAGAAACTTCAAGAGCAGTGGTATGGATCTCGTTATCAGATTTGCCTGCAAATTTCTTCGCAAAAAAAGTCGTTATTATCCATAGCTTCAGCAGTGGGAAAGCCATTAGCAGTGGACAAAGCGACTCAAGATAGAACGCGACCAAGTACGGCGAGAGTTAAGGTGTTACTTGATCTGCTCGACAAACATCCTAAGCGAGTTAGGATAAATATTGTGGATACAATTTCTGGAAGGTTAGTTGAACATCACCAACAGATAGTATATGATAATCTCCCTAAATTTTGTACTTGTTGTAACCATCAAGGACATGATGTAAAATCATGTCGTTGGAGGATTGAGAAATCTAACGAAGAAGCTGCTCCAGTTATTGAAGTTGAAGGGCTGGGTAGTTTTGACAAATTAGAAGGTGATGCTAGAGACTATCTTAATGCAAAAAGGGCTGAACAAATGGTAGATAATATAGCAAAGAAGACTGTGGTCGAGCAGAATCGTGTAGAACATGAGGTGAATAACAGTGTCGCAGATGATCGAGTGGGGAAGGAGACTAGTGTTTCTAAGAATTCTGCTATATTAAATTGTCCTAATGCAACAGATGGTATAGCTGGTCCAAAAAATTCAATAGTGGTGCAACAAGAAGTTGGGACAACAGTTAATGCTGTTGTAACAGTTCCAGTTACGGCAGCTCTCTTAATAGGGTTGTTAATGATTTGAAGGCTGCTACTGCTGGTGTTTCTAAGGGTCCAGGTGCTGGGCAAAAATCTGTTGAAGCTGGGCATCAAACATCTAAAGGACAGGGGACAACTAGCGTACAAAAGTTAACAGAGGCCACTGGAGTTTTGGCTATAAAAGATGGGCAAGTTACTGCTGATTCGCACAAAGAACCAGCCACACAGGTTGTTAAAATCTCAACAGATCAAGCTTTGTCAGTGCATGATTGTGCAATGAAGAAGACTGGGCAGTCTCAACAGAATTACCTAGCTACTGCTGGTGCAATGCAGGCTGATGTTGATCAAGGAAAAAATAACATGGTACCTGGTGATCAAATTTCTGTGGGGCAAGATAAAATAGGAGTAGGGGCAGTAGGTACTACAACTCCTACTGGTGCTAAGGCTAATGAGATAAAAGATGCACTACATGATTTTTCTGATCATGATACCCCAAAGCAACCAGCTACAACTCCAATCAAATCAGATACAGGGAGTAACAACTGGAAAGTGGTGAATAAATCACCTCGCAATAAGCAAACTCCAAGTCTTCAAAATCAGATTGTACCATCGAAGGCTATTGGAGTTTCGAACTCCTTTGATGCTTTGGTGAATGAGGGTGAGCATGTTAGTGAGGAGCGGCAGATGGATGGCGAGACACGACCAGTAGCTGGAAAAACTAATTCTACAGGTAGTGAAAAGCAGCAGAAAAATGCAAAGGACAGTGTTCGACTTGAGATCGCATCTGGTGGTAATCACACTGGTGAGACAAGTCAAATTCACGCTGCAGATACGCCAACACTGCATATTTCCAATCCGGAGCTAGATAAAATGGTAAACGATGCCCAGGCAGCTATGATGATGAACACAACTCCAAGAAATAGACAACTACAATATTCAGGCAGTAGCAAACAACAACTTGCCAAGAACAGAGGTGGTCGACTAATTGTGTCGAAGGACATTGTTCCTGTTGATGCGCAAAAGGCCGAAGCACACAGTTCCAATGCACCTACGCTGCATTTTTCCAACCCTCAAGTAGAACAAATCATCAAAGATGCTCAGAATGAAATGATGAAAAATTCTACTGTGGTTAAACAACCTTTGGTCACTTTGAACACCTCCGTATTTGATGTCCCTTCTCAGTCAGTGGAATCCTTTGGGGAATCTGGACAGCTTGTGTTACCAACTGGGAATAATAACGAGGTTATTCAAGCAAATGTGAGGGGATGGCTATCAAATCCAAGCTTTGGGTTGAACAACGAGAGGAGGATGATGAAGAGGACTGGGGTGATGGTTTTGCGGGGTACTCATCTGAAGAGGCTGATCAGGAGGCTAATCAGGAGAGTGCAGGAGAAGATCTTGATTCAATAGCAAGGCCAAAACCTGAGGGGA